AGATGTACCTAAATGTGTTAATAAAACAAAATGATTGAAGATGAGAATCTTTAAGTACTAGAGAGAATCATGCAAGTCAACATGACCTTTTGCCTTAGAGTCATGAGAGATCCTTCATCTCCTGCATTGCTCAGAGACAAATTATTCAGTGCTGTTAACACCCTATTGACTTGTGCCGACATACCGACTCACTCCTTTTACGATAAATGGCTGAGAAAAAATGCCTATAATCTCATTAAGCTCATCATTCCTTTAAAGTGCATCTACCTGTCCCTGATATTCCTCTTTATCTGTACCTCACCATTCAAGTATCATACACACCTGTCACCAAGAAAGATAATGAGAATCTTGTTCTTCTCAAAGCTGTCACACTTGAAACAATTGCCTCCTCCATCGAAAATTTAAGATCTCACGAGCACTGTGTCTACACCGACGGCTCAGTCCAATCTTCTACTGGACGGACTGCAGCAGCATGTAGGTTTTGTAGAAATAATATTTGCACACAGATTGTCAGTGTCAGGTTAAACAACTGGCTGACTTCCACACAAGCAGAACTAGCAGCATTACACCTAGCTACCAGTACATTAAAAAACATTGGAGGAGGAATAATATTTTGTGATTCAAAGTCTGCTCTTCAAGTAATCGAAAACTTCTCTTGGAAGATCAACAGCAAGAACCTCATACTACCAGTTATAAATGACCTAATTCCTGCACAGATTAAAAGGTTTCAAATCTCCTTTGTATGTATACTATCACATATAAATATAACCCATCATAATGAGACAGACATTGCAGCCAAATTAGCGTGTAACAAGATGAAGTTGAATTAGATCTAGGTATCCCCATCTCTGCTGTCAAAACTATATTGTTCCAAACACTCAGGTCTGATAGGAGAGAAATTACTAACTCCCATCGACCTGAAATCACCCGTAAAAAAACTATGATTTGTTCAGATCTGAACCCTATATTTATGGGCAGCACAAAACGTCCACCTGACTGTGCGACACAGTGGTTGCCAGGATCAGGTTGGGTAACCGTTACCTGTGGCAGGTGGCTACAGGTGACGGATCTCCCAATCTTGTGCTAATCAACTTATAACATGCCTCTATATGGCAAACCATCCTGTGTGATGGGGATTTTAGCATCACGTAGCTAGTTTTGTGACACTTTTTTTTTTATTAACATATTAGGTACATCTGCATTAGTGCAGCTACCCTAGACTATATGAAGTGGAGTACAGTGTGTCAAAAAAGCTAACTAGGTGATGCTAAGAAATCCCCATCACACAGGATGGTTAGTCATACAGTGATAGCGTATCATACAGTGTATCATACAGTGATACAGTGTTAGTCATAGCATGTGATAAGCGGTCTGCACTGGCAGACTCCGGATGCATTTTGAGGATATCAACAACACAAGATTGAATAAGGCAGCAGTGGTAACAAAAGTCCCCATCTCGCAGGATGGTTAGTCATATAGGGCCATGTGTTTAATAGCCTACACTGGCAAATTTTGGGTATACTGTGAGGATATCTTCAAGAATACGAGAGTGAATAAAGTAATTGCAAAGCTCCAGGTACCTCATGCCAACTGGTATGAAAGGTCTAATAACTGGACATTCAGTGATGTAGTGCGGGAGATCGTGCCGTAGTTCCTGCTCACAGAGTTTGCAACTGGAGTGCTCAGGATTGGGAGACCCGTCACCTGCAGCCACCTGCCACAGGTAACGGTAACCCAACCTGATCCTTGCAACCACTGAGTCGCGCAGTCTAGTGGACGTTTTGTGCTGTCCATAGATGTAGGTTTCAGATCTGAACAAATCATAGCTTTTTATACTAGTACTTTTAGGTCGTTGGGAGTCAGTAAGTTCTTTCCTATCAGATCTGAATGTTTGGACCAATACAGTTTTGACAGCAGAGATGGGGATACCTAGATCTAATTCAACTTCAAACTTGTTACACGCTAATTTGGCTGCAATGTCTGTCTCATTATGATGGGTTATATTTATGTGTGAAGCTATCCATGCAAAGGAGATTCGAGACCCTGTACTCTGTGCATCAGTTAGGTCATTTATAATTGGGAGTATGAGGTTCTTGCTGTCGATCTTCCAAGAGAAGTTTTCGATTGCTTGAAGATCAGACTTTGAATCGCAGAATATTATTCCTCCTCCAATGTTTTTTAATGTACTGGTTGCTAAGTGTAATGCTGCTTGTTCTGCTTGTGTGGAGGTCAGCCAGTTCAGCCAACCTGACACTGACAGTCTTTGTGCAAATATTTCTACAAAACCTACATGCCGCTGCAGTCCGTCCAGTAGAAGATTGGACTGAGCCGTCGGTGTAGACACAGTGCTCGTGAGATCTTAGACTCTCGATGGAGGAGGCAATTGTTTCAAGAGTGACAGCTTTGAGAAGAGCAAGATTCTCATTATCTTTCTTGGTGACAGGTGTGTATGATACTTGAATGGTGGGGTACAGATAAAGAGGAATATCAGAGACAGGTAGATTGCACTTAAAAGGAATGTTTTGTGACACACGCTGTACTCCCCTTCATATAGTCTAGGGTAGCTGCACATATGCACATGTAACTAAATGTGTTAATAAAAATATTAAAAAAATACTTTATTCATTCTCGTGTTCTAAATGATAAGTTTACTCGTGTTCTAAATAATACGTTCACTCGTGTTCTAAATGATATATGTTCACACGTGTTCTAGATGATATGTTCACTTGTGTTCTAGATGATATGTTCACTCGTGTTTTCTAGTTGATATGTTAATTCGTGTTCTAGATGATATGTTCATTTGTGTTCAAGATTATATATGCTCACTCGTTTTCTAATTGATATGTTCACTCGTGTTCTAGAATATAAATGTTCACTCGTGTTCTAGGTAATATATTCACTCGTATTGTCTAGTTGATATGTTAATTCGTGTTCAAGATTATATATGTTCACTCGTTTTCTAATTTATATGTTCATTCGTGTTCTAGATTATATATGTTCACTCGTGTTCTAGATGACATGTTCACTCGTGTTCTAGATCAGCGGTCGTCAACCTTTCAGACCTCACGGACCACTAAATTCATAATTTTAAATCCCGCGGACCATTAAAGTTTCCTACCTAATCCGAGTGGTTTGATTGCAAATGTCTTTCGAGTCTGGAAGGTTTCAAGGCATCATTGGACAAACTCTCACAACACACAAGACAAGGCGGCCGTGGATGATGCAGCTCAGTACCAGGTTCTTGAATAAATCCAAGTTTCAGGTAGTTTTGATTCATATTTTCGTGATATTTGGGGTATTTTCTTCTCTCCGCCTGCAATATATATTTTGACATATACCTGGCGCCACAATCTACGACTGGAGGCATATACACAGGGGCCTGGGATAAGAGGTGAGGAGTGGGAGCATCATAGAGAATATAGGCCAAGCAGAAGAGGCGGACTCCATACAATGTTATCCAACCACTTGGTCAGGACGGTAGAGCAACGATCTCGCTTTATGCAGGTCGGCGTTCAATCCCCCCGATCGTCCAAGTGGTTGGGCACCAATCCCTTCCTCCCGTCCCATCCCAAATCCTTATCCTGATCCCTTCCAAGTGCTATGTAATCATATTGGCTTGGTGCTTTCTCCTCAAAGTTCCCATACCTTTCATACAATGTTTATGTACTGATGTGACTTACCACACATAGGTAAGGCGGGGCCCAAGAGCTGCAGTCTTTAGGGTACAGTTAGGTGAGAACGGCAGTAAGAGAACTTTCGTTAGCTGTGTTTAAGTCTTGGTATGTGACTTGTTGACTCACCGTGTGACTCACTGTGTGACTCACCGTGTGACTCACTGTGTGACTCACTGTGTGACTCACTGTGTGACTCACCGTGACTCACTGTGTGACTCACCGTGACTCACTGTGTGACTCACTGTGTGACTCACTGTGTGACTCACCGTGACTCACTGTGTGACTCACTGTGCCTCACTGTGTGACTCACCGTGTGACTCACCGTGTGACTCACCCGACACCAAAGCCTGCACAGTCTCTGGACCTCACAACAAGGCCGAGGATAATTAGGAGAGCGCATTAATCCGGGTGTAATAAGCATAAGCCTCGTTACATAATTACACATCTTATGCGAGCCTGGTTTATGCGGCGGCGCTCTGTGGCAGCGCTCTGGGTCGGCCCAAGTCACCCACCTGACACTGTTTAGATTTTGTGTTTATGTTCTCTGAATATAGATGGCGTGGAGCATCACTCAGTCTCCCAGGTTACTGCTGGGTCTGGAGAGTTACTAAATGGATTTAGTAAATCCATTTAGTGGACCTTTCATTGTATGAAAGGTATGGGAACTTTGAGGAGAAAGCACCAAGCCAATATGATTACATAGCACTTGGAAGGGATCAGGATAAGGATTTGGGATGGGACGGGAGGAAGGGATTGGTGCCCAACCACTTGGACGATATATATATATATATATATATATATATATATATATATATATATATATATATATATATATATATATATATATATATATATATATATATATATATATATATATTTACATATTTTTTCCATTGTAATGCCGAGCTGTGTGACAAGATCACTGTTCTCGCTCTCTAAAGTCTTGTGTTGAATGGCGGAGGCGGGTGTGACAGCGGGCGGAGGCAGGTGTCACAGCGGGCGGAGGCAGGTGTGACAGCGGGCGGAGGCAGGTGTCACAGCGGGCGGAGGCGGGTGTCACAGCGGGCGGAGGTGGGTGTCACAGCGGGCGGAGGCAGGTGTCAGAGCGGGCGGAGGCAGGTGTCAGAGCGGGCGGAGGCAGGTGTCACAGCGGGCGGAGGCAGGTGTCACAGCGGGCGGAGGCAGGTGTGACAGCGGGCGGAGGCGGGTGTCACAGCGGGCGGAGGCGGGTGTGACAGCGGGCGGAGGCGGGTGTGACAGCGGGCGGAGGCGGGTGTCACAGCGGGCGGAGGCGGGTGTCACAGCGGGCGGAGGCGGGTGTGACAGCGGGCGGAGGCGGGTGTCACAGCGGGCGGAGGCGGGTGTCACAGCGGGCGGAGGCGGGTGTCACAGCGGGCTGAGGCTGGTGTCACAGCGGGCGGAGGCGGGTGTCACAGCGGGCGGAGGCGGGTGTCACAGCGGGCGGAGGCAGTTGTCACAGCGGGCGGAGGCGAGTGTCACAGCGGGCGGAGGCGGGTGTCACAGCGGGCGGAGGCGGGTGTCACAGCGGGCGGAGGCAGGTGTCACAGCGGGCGGAGGCAGGTGTCACAGCGGGCGGAGGCAGGTGTCACAGCGGGCGGAGGCAGGTGTCACAGCGGGCGGAGGCAGGTGTCACAGCGGGCGGAGGCGGGTGTCACAGCGGGCGGAGGCGGGTGTCACAGCAGGCGGAGGCAGTTGTCACAGCGGGCGGAGGCGGGTGTCACAGCGGGCGGAGGCGGGTGTCACAGCGGGCGGAGGCAGGTGTCACAGCGGGCGGAGGCGGGTGTCACAGCGGGCGGAGGCAGGTGTCACAGCGGGCGGAGGCAGTTGTCACGGCGGGTGTCACAGCGGGCGGAGGCGGGTGTCACAGCGGGCGGAGGCAGGTGTCACAGCGGGCGGAGGCAGGTGTCACAGCGGGCGGAGGCAGGTGTCACAGCGGGCGGAGGCAGGTGTCACAGCGGGCGGAGGCGGGTGTCACAGCGGGCGGAGGCGGGTGTCACAGCGGGCGGAGGCGGGTGTCACAGCGGGCGGAGGCAGGTGTCACAGCGGGCGGAGGCAGGTGTCACAGCGGGCGGAGGCAGGTGTCACAGCGGGCGGAGGCGGGTGTCACAGCGGGCTGAGGCGGGTGTCACAGCGGGCGGAGGCGGGTGTCACAGCGGGCGGAGGCGGGTGTCACAGCGGGCGGAGGCGGGTGTCACAGCGGGCGGAGGCGGGTGTCACAGCGGGCGGAGGCGGGTGTCACAGCGGGCGGAGGCGGGTGTCACAGCGGGCGGAGGCAGTTGTCATGGCGGGTGTCACAGCGGGCTGAGGCAGGTGTCACAGCGGGCGGAGGCGGGTGTCACAGCGGGCGGAGGCGGGTGTCACAGCGGGCGAAGGCAGGTGTCACAGCGGGCGGAGGCAAGTGTCACAGCGGGCGGAGGCAGTTGTCACGGCGGGTGTCACAGCGGGCGGAGGCGGGTGTCACAGCGGGCGGAGGCGGGTGTCACAGCGGGCGAAGTCAGGTGTCACAGCGGGCGGAGGCAAGTGTCACAGCGGGCGGAGGCAGTTGTCACGGCGGGTGTCACAGCGGGCGGAGGCGGGTGTCACAGCGGGCGGAGGCAGGTGTCACAGCGGGCGGAGGCGGGTGTCACAGCGGGCGGAGGCAGGTGTCACAGCGGGCGGAGGCAGGTGTCACAGCGGGCGGAGGCAGGTGTCACAGCGGGCGGAGGCAGGTGTCACAGCGGGCGGAGGCAGGTGTCACAGCGGGCGGAGGCAGGTGTCACAGCGGGCGGAGGCGGGTGTCACAGCGGGCGGAGGCAGTTGTCATGGCGGGTGTCACAGCGGGCTGAGGCAGGTGTCACAGCGGGCGGAGGCGGGTGTCACAGCGGGCGAAGGCAGGTGTCACAGCGGGCGGAGGCAAGTGTCACAGCGGGCGGAGGCAGTTGTCACGGCGGGTGTCACAGCGGGCGGAGGCGGGTGTCACAGCGGGCGGAGGCGGGTGTCACAGCGGGCGAAGGCAGGTGTCACAGCGGGCGGAGGCAAGTGTCACAGCGGGCGGAGGCAGTTGTCACGGCGGGTGTCACAGCGGGCGGAGGCGGGTGTCACAGCGGGCGGAGGCAGGTGTCACAGCGGGCGGAGGCGGGTGTCACAGCGGGCGGAGGCAGGTGTCACAGCGGGCGGAGGCAGGTGTCACAGCGGGCGGAGGCAGGTGTCAGAGCGGGCGGAGGCAGGTGTCACAGCGGGCGGAGGCAGGTGTCACAGCGGGCGGAGGCAGGTGTCACAGCGGGCGGAGGCAGGTGTCACAGCGGGCGGAGGCAGGTGTCACAGCGGGCGGAGGCAGGTGTCACAGCGGGCGGAGGCGGGTGTCACAGCGGGCGGAGGCGGGTGTGACAGCGGGCGGAGGCAGGTGTGACAGCGGGCGGAGGCGGGTGTCACAGCGGGCGGAGGCGGGTGTGACAGCGGAGGCTGCTGTTAAACACGTCGCCACCGCCTCCACCAGGCACAGGGACGAGGCGCACTTGAGTGGTGGGAAAATTTAGGGGTACGAAGCTATAATTTAATCGAGAATGTTATAAAATCCTGGAGAGCAACATGCAAGGCTTGTGATGTGGGTGGCCCAGGCGGGTGGGAAGGGTTGGATGGGTTGGCGGGGGAGGACGGGGATGTGGGAGAGGGAGGGATATTGGGTGATGGGGGAGGCTAGGGAGGGGGGGGTGATAAAGGCGGTGCCTTTGATCTGGCTGCCTGCCACCCCCCTCTTCCATCCCCTATCCCCTCCTCACCGGCAAGCCCTCCCTCCCATCAGGCCAACCCCCCTCCTAGTCTTCTCTCCTTTCTGCTCTTGCCTCTCCTCTTTGCTTCATTCACTCACTCACTGTTCCTATTCTCCCATTTATCACCCGCCTGTGTCTTCTCCTTCCACGTTCTCACACTATATATTTTGTTTGTACGATACCTGCTTTTTGCTAATTAATTAATTTTTATTAATGAAAGACTCGTGTTAGGATATCACTGTCCCAGATGAGTCAGGATAGGACTGTCCCAGATGAGTCAGGATAACACTATCCCATATGACTCAAGATAACACTGTCCCAGACTGTGTTTACATTAAAGGAACGTGCGACAAAGCACAGAGGATTGCAAACCGGGACGAGCTTGCATGCATGAGTGTCAAGGGGAGACTCATGAAATGGATTGAAGACTACCTCACAGGGGGTAAAGCAAGGTCTGCTTTAATGGAGCAGTCTCAAGAACAATGAATATGGAATTCGGTACCCCCCAAGGCGGAGTCTTAAGCCCCACATTGTTTAACATACATATGAACGCCATGGCAAATATTGAATTTCCGGAAGAAACACAAGTGGGATATGCAGATGATGTCCTAATACAAGCCCCAACCTTGGGAAAAATTAAACAGTCCATTGAACTACTTGGAAGGAAATGTGTTAATCTCGGTTTCATCACAAGCGGGGAGAAAATGAAGAACAAATTAATGGTGAAACACTTGAATGGGTTGACCACTATCGGTACCTTGGCGTCACTGTCGGCTCTAGCAAGGGGAAGAAACAGGAGCTCAACCAACTCATAGGAACATGTAAAAGTCGACTCAGAGCACTGAAAGCCATGACCTGGCCCTCTATTGCCGTGCTTAAAAGTGATGTACACAGCCTATGTGCGCTCCGTCATACCTTGAGGTTACCTTGAGGTGCTTCCGGGGCTTAGTGTCCCCGCGGCCCGGTCGTCGACCAGGCCTCCTGGTTACTGGACTGATCAACCAGGCTGTTGGACGCGGCTGCTCGCAGCCTGACGTATGAGTCACAGCCTGGTTGATCAGGTATCCTTTGGAGGTGCTTATCCAGTTCTCTCTTGAACACTGTGAGGGGTCGGCCAGTTATGCCCCTTATGTGTAGTGGAAGCGTGTTGAACAGTCTCGGGCCTCTGATGTTGATAGTTCTCTCTTGAACACTGTGAGGGGTCGGTTAGTTATGCCCCTTATGTGTAGTGGAAGCGTGTTGAACAGTCTCGGGCCTCTGATGTTGATAGAGTTCTCTCTCAGAGTACCTGTTGCACTTCTGCTTTTCAACGGGGGTATTCTACACATCCTGCCATGCCTCCTGGTCTCATGTGATGTTATTTCTGTGTGCAGGTTTGGGACCAGCCCCTCAATTATTTTCCACGTGTAAATTATTATGTATCTCTCCCGCCTGCGCTGAAGGGAGTACAGATTTAAGCTCTTTAGTCGGTCCCAGTAATTTAGATGTTTTACTGAGTGGATTCTAGCAGTAAAGGATCTCTGCACGCTCTCCAGGTCAGCAATTTCTCCAGCTTTGAAAGGGGCTGTCATTGTGCAGCAGTACTCCACTCTAGAGAGCACAAGCGTTTTGAAAAGTATCATCATCGGTATAACATCTCTAGTGTGAAAAGTTCTTGTTATCCAACCTGTCATTTTTCTTGCAGTTGTGACGGCTACTTTATTGTGTTCTTTAAAGGTAAGGTCTTCAGACATGAGTTTACCCAGATCCTTTACATTGCCTTTTCGTTCTATGTTATGATTTGCCTGAGTTTTGTACGTGGTTTCTGTTTTTATATTTTCAATTTTTCCGTAGCGCATGAGCTGGAACTTATCCTCGTTAAACACCATATTATTTTCTGTAGCCCATAGAAAAACCTGATCTACATCTGATTGGAGGTTTGCCGTGTCCTCTATGTTGCCAACTCTCATGAAAATCCTAGTGTCATCTGCAAAGGATGATACAGTGCTATAGGTTGTGTTCTGGTCTATGTCCGATATGAGGATGAGAAAAAGTACTGGAGCAAGCACAGTACCCTGGGGGACTGAGCTCTTCACGGTTGATGGGCATCACCATCGACATATGGTGCGGCATAGTCATAGACTATGCCGCACCAGTTTTATGCACTTATTCCCAAAGCTATATGAAAAAACATACAAAATGAAGCCATGACAATCAATCTTGGCATCCCAAGAACTGCCAAAAACATTTAATCTACGAGAGGAGTTGGCTCTTCCCATTGTTAAAAGCAGAATTAAGGAAATGAATGCTAAACTTGCAATTACGTTAGCCAGAGATCCCCATTACAATGATATTGCCAAGAAAACCCTGTGTTCTGTGCTACTTACAGGAGGAAACAGGAGAAGCAAAAAATGGCATCATAGATCAGTCTGCTACCTCGAAGAATTTCACCTGGTGTAGCAAGCCCGTGAGCTGCCTGTAGAGAGGTTACCTCCTTGGGAGGATGACCCATGCAGGATTATTATCAATGAGATGACAACGAAAAAGTCCAAGATGATACCACAAGAAATGAGGCACAAGTATCTCGGGGAAATTTATAAAGAATCCGGAAATGAATTAGATCAAATTTACACTGACGGGTCATCTAATTCTGTCAATGGCAGGGCTGGTGCAGCATACACTGTAATTAGGAATAATGCCTTACAACGCGGAAATGAAGAAAATGCGCATATTGAGAGCAATGCCTCTTCAACGCATGCAGAGCTAACTGCCATCGTTATGATTCTAAGATTCCTTGGATGATGCAATTGAATGGGAATTAAATCATGCACTAAAGATGGGCAATTCAACTGCTCCTGGAGAGGATGGTATTACTTACAATCTACTGAGATTAGTCTCACAAGTACCAGGTAATCCACTATTAGTGTTGTACAGAATGAGTTTACGTGAAGGAGTATTACCTGATGATTGGACAAAGAATGCCATTGTTCCAATCCCCAAACCATACTCAGATAATTATAGACCCATATCTCTAACATCGTGAGTTTGTAAAGTGCTTGAACGCATTGTCCTTAACCGACTCATGTATCGTATACAGAGGCACCTGTCACCCCAACTGTTTGGATTTATGCCTGGGCTCAGTACACAACACTGTTTTTCTGAGTACTTCGCTCATATTGAAGCTTCCCCTCAAACAGTCTTCATCGACCTAGCAGCAGCTTTTGATACATCAAACAGGGAAATCATACTAGAACAGCTTGCTGAGCTGGGAATACAAGGAAAATTACTGAAATGGATAAAGGGCCATTTGTCTAATTGAACAGCATATGTTTTGTTTAATGGTGTTAAAAGCACAGAGAGCAAACATTTTGAACTGGGAACGCCACAAGGAGGGGTCCTCAGCCCCTTGTTGTTCAACGTTCTGATGCATAAACTCATTAAAGATCTTCCAACTAATAATGAAGACACTGTCATTTGTTATGCTGATGATATATGTTTACAGGCTGCCTCTGAGCCTAGAATGCAAGTTCTGCTCGATGCTTTTGCTACTAGAGCTGAGGAATGTGGCCTCCTTATCTCTGTACAGAAAACTCGTGCCCTCATTCCATGTGGTATTCCACCAGCCAATTATCATATAGATGGGCGAGCACTTGAGAACTGCGAGTCTTACAGATACCTTGGTGTCCCCATTAACGACCCTGGGTACCTTTCTTCTCTCAAGAGGAGACTGTGGGAGAGAATAAAGCCCTTGCGGGTTCTTGTTGGTGTCAATCATGGAATTAACGTGAGACTTGCTTGAATGTTTTATGTATCATTTATACACTCTGTGATTGACTACAATGCTCTACATCTCACACTGTATACAGACAAAGAGCTGAAATCTCTTGAAACCTTGCAAAATGAAGCTATGCGTCTCATCTTTGGGGCTCCAAAATCCACGAGAATAGTTAATATGAGAGCAGAGTTAAAATTACCTACCATAAGTGAGAGAATTTTGTCTATTAGCACAGTTTTCGGCGTGAAGGCATTGAGTAGATCTCGGCAACACGTGAAGTTTCAAGCTAAACTTTCTAATATTCTACATTCACCCGAGGACTGTAGAAGAAAAGCGAAATCTGATTATGTATATTGGTTCTACAAGGTAGCCAACTCCATCAAAATATTAAATATGTACCCAACTCAATTAACGATTAATCAGCCAATTACTCCATGGGATAACTTGGATCTAGCAGTTGATTTTGTAAATGCACCCAAGAAAAATAGTGTACACTCAACATTATTAAAACAGTTAACACTGAAAAGCATCACTGAAAGTACTCAGAGTATGAGTAACGATGTTTATCAGTGCTATACCGACGGTTCTGTAGAAGAAGGTGGACGATGTACCGGGTGTGCTTGTAATATATTTGAACAATCTTCTCTCGTACATACAGCAATGAAGCGCGTCAATGATTGGGCAAGTACAACTCAAACCGAACTTGCAGGCATATACCTTGCCACTGAATTTTGAAAAGACAAAGGCAGTGGACTTATATACTGTGACTCGCAGAGTGCACTCCAGGCATTGAACGCACATAGTAGTGACACCCAGAAAATTGTCAGTGATATTCGAATGAATGTTTTAGCTGCCAAAGAAAA